AGCTAAGTGCTGCCCATCTGCAAACCACTCCTTGCTTCAGCCCTGAAGCAGAAGTTGCAGGGGATTCCCGGCGGTCATCCTGGAGGCAGCGCCGGGCGTCCTTATGGTAGCACCTGACCTGTCCTGAGGCTACGCTCGCCTCCGCCGTGGCCTCCCAAAGGTACCTGTTTTAGCGATGAGATGCACCCATTTTTCGTCACTCCCCAAAGGCAGTAGCTGCTGGCTCTGGTGACTCGGTGAGCCTGCCTCGAGGCGCTAACCGCTGGCGGCCGAGGATTTGTGTGCATCACAGCCACGTGGAGTGGCCTTGAAAAGCTAGTCACTGATGACACAGTCCCGGCGGGACGGAGCCAAGAGAGCAGTGGGTGGGAGACTCCCGAGGAGGCAGCTTCATTTTGTCAAAAGGTCAAAGAAGATGCTCTCATGTGTGTTCTAGAAAATGGGCTCCCTTGGGAATGAGAGGCTGCTGGTCTCGGCAGCAGGAGAGCTCCTTCAGCGCACCACGAGGCAGGGCGACCTGGGGGCTTGCTGGTGCGACGGCTTCTTGTTAGACATCCCTGCATTTTATTCCAGGCAAGCAATAAATATGGCATTTTCTCCCTCAGTTTTGGCATCTGCCCCACCACAGGTTTCCTGAACCCTAGATACCCAAGTACACCCCATTTCTTCCATTCTAAAAAGGACCATCCATATGCCTTCACCATCCATCTTCATCCTTTCCGATCCTGCCTTAGCAGTGTCCCCAAGGGTGTGACCGTGTGGTCGAAATGGGACGCCGTTTCCCAAGGGCTCCCACTCATTCACAGACGACTCCAGATACACGGGCCTGGACGCCAGAACTCTCTAGTCTAAGGAGCACTTCTGTGGTTGAGAGTCTGGGGCTGATATTTAAATCTGCTGGTTTCTTTTCCTTTTTTTAACTGGAAGTTACATCGTTCATGTTTTTGATACCGATGATTTGTTTTGAGGTGATAGAACAGATTCTTCTAAAAAGGAGATTGCAGAGTGCTTGAATATAAGAAAGAAGTAGGTAGGAAAGGGGGTCCAATTCAGTCAACTTTGCCTGGGAGGACCTGCCTCCCTCCTGCTCTGGGCAGATGTCCCCTTTCACCTCTGCCTGTTCCAATGGTGGTAGGTGGCCTTTGGTCCTTATATATCCATCTGGTGTATAAATGAAACTATCTGTATGATCCAGCCACCAACTGATCCCAGGATCAAGGAAAAGGGAACCATGAAGATATTACCCAAGAACTGATTGAAATGGTGGGATTATAGTAGCTTTTTGTTTCTCTCTCTCTCACACACACACACACTGGCCTTTGTTTATCAGTAGAACAACGAAAACTTTAGAATATCCCCCAACCTCTATTTTGGGTCAGTTGGTGCCACTTCAGCTAAGGGGCTTTAAACTTTAAAAAAAAAAAAAAATGTGACACCAGCGTGGACGTAAAGAAAATAACCAGGGGTGTTGGTTCAATTAAAAGACTTACAATCCTAGTGATACTGTGACTTGAGTCTTAAAACACCAAATAAAACATTCTGCTTATTTCCTTTCCCTTTAACAACACCCAGGTACATTTGGATCAGTGACGAGCAGAATCTTTTATATCTGATAAAACAGGGCAATAACCATAAAGTGAAAAGCACTGAGATGTGAACCAACGGCCAGCCCATTCCAAGCCCATTTATGGCATGTCGAGTAGGTTCCCCGATAACTAATGAACTGGCCTTAATTTTCATTTTCTACTCTCAGTCTGTGTCTACCTGTACCATGTAGCATTGGAAATGAAGGCATTATTACACGGAACAAAAATATGTATGATTCAGCTCCCAGAAAAACACCTGCCTCTGAAATACCCAGATAAATAATTAAGGAGGAAGTGGTTCAGGGAGCCCAGGTCACCTGGTCATTGGACTTCACTTTTCTCCCTATGCCAACACACAGAATCAAATTGCTCCCTTTGTCTCCGTCACCTGCTTCCATGTCTGGACGAGGGCACCGAGATGGAAAACCCGGCAGGCAGCAGACAAGTCCCTGGCCCGCTCACCATACCCAGATCGCCTGCCTCCCCTCCCCTCCCCTCGATGCTCTCACAGCAAATCCCTGCGAGCCATGCTCCCATCCCACGGCCGTCGCAGTGCCCACCTCCTCCAGCGGCTCATCCACTGATGCCAGTATCCACTGTTTATGACGCTGCAGCCGCCGTAATGAATTGATATGTCTTGCTCTTTGAAACGCTTAGACAGGAGGCCACCCATTATAAGGAAAAACAATGTCAAGACAACTCTGTTCGGCAGGGGCTGGAAATGGATATTGTGCAGGAAAATGCATTAGAATTGAAGAGGGTTTTGCTTAACAGGATGGTTTTAAAGACGTAAACAATTATGATGTGCAATAACTCCTTCAATCAGAAGACTGTGGAGAGGCCCAACGCCGGCCAGGGGGCTGGTGCGATTCCAAGTCGTGCTACCACCACGAGACACTAGGGGTCGCCATATTAATACCAGTGCCCTGGCTCCATTGCCCTCCAGAGAGCCTACCATCCCGCAGCTCTTGGCTCCCCGTTTGTCCAGGAACGTTGCTCAGTGCCTATCGCTCATGATGTGACCATTTGCAGTTATCTCAAGCACCACTGAAATAATGGGGTAGAGTCCTCTCTGAGCTTCTTTCTGGTGAATGACATTTTTTTAAGGGCCACCTAAGAGTTATCAATCCATTATTTGGGGCTAGATGTAATTATAAAGGATGTGCGGGCCGGTTAACCAAATATAGAACATTTTCATTCAATAGCTACACGGTATTCCAATTCAGATGGCCTCCTAAAGCCTGAGTCTCCCAAACCCCGGGACAACACTTCTTTTATCTGCCAGGATTCATACTTTCTGTTGACTCTTGACTAAAAAATTAATGTCTCTCTCTTAACTTTGTTTCTCACCTCATTGTTTTCATTCCTCAATTCAGAAATTATTTTTCAAAGAAGGAATCTAAGCAGTTGTCTGTAATCTACAGATATGTTATCACCAGGCTCTTCTGCAGTCCCTGTCATCAGAATGGGAAACTGTTGGCCCAGGTCCAGAGGGTACCCAGCCTCTCAGTGATAGGATCCCGCTTGCTCCTATTTCAGTTTTAAGAATAATCCTGCCCCCCCCCACCACCACCACCACCGTGAGCAGGAAGCTCTAGTTATGTCATTCAGGGTAGAGCTGCTGAAGGCTAAGATTAAACCAGCTGAAGATCTATGAACAGCATTTAAAGCATTAAAACAAACAAACAAAAAAGTATTGCAAGAAAAATACATGGCGGTTGATAATAATGGCAAGACCATAGCCGAGAGAAAGTACAGTTCTAAGTCAAAGTTAATATCAGAGTTTCTGAGGTGGTTTTTTGTCCGTCTTTGCTTTTTCATTTATGCATTGAGGACCTAATACGTGAGCCTGTGTGAGGCAGTGGGGGAGATATAAGGATACACACGGGCAAGGAAGGCAACTAGTGGTGACCGTTGCCCCTTCCCTGTCCCTGCCATCTGTGCACCCGCCCAACCCAAGTGCATTCCTTCCCCGCCGCGTCCACCGCCCGGTTCGGTCACGGCCTGACACTCTCTCCTGCATTCCTGCTGTTCTGGGCCCTTTCGCTTCCCTTCACCCTTCCCCTTTCTTCTCTCTCTCTCGCCCGTTTAACTGGACGTAACAATAATGATACTAAAATGGAGAACAACCATGGTTTAGTGGGACAGTGACTTACAATGTTTCTGTATAGCAAATTAATTTTGCAAAGCCTGTGGTACAGAAGTAGAGAAATCAAGCGAAAACATGCAAAAGGTGGCCTTTGTTAAAGTGGTATTCGGGGAGACCTGAAATGTGCTTCTGTCTAACCTGAAAAGTAAACTCTTGTGGGTCCAACCCTTAATTCCCGCCAAATTATAATGGAGTTGTCAAGGGTGTCATCGTATCTAAGGGTGTATTTGTCGCTATTTATTTTTTAATTTCAATTCCCCCAAACCCTAGACTATAAGCACCATAGGTAAGAGAGTTCTTTATCTTACTTGAAATAAGGAAACTTTCATTGTTAACTGACAGCTTCACAACTGTGATGTTCCATTTTTCCAGAACTGGGAATTCTTAACAAGGTGACCCTTGGCCATTTGCCGCTGCCGAATGGTGGGGATAGAGGGAGGGAGAGAGAGAGAGAGAATTTCTCCAACACTCTCTCGGAGCTGGGTGCATCGAGCTTGGACCAAAATTGCAATGGCATACATCAAAGGCACGGTCCTCAAGAAAGAGATTGTGTGAACTCAATCGGGCTCAGTTATATCGTACGTTTTCTTTTCTTTGCGGACCTTCGCTTGATGGTGACCATAATAAAATTGTCCAAGCAGACGCTTATCTTTACTACATTCAAAGCTGTACCCAGACGGTCCCGATGATGTAACAAATGAGATGGCAACGAAACAGAGCTTCCTCACCAAGGGCCTGTGGATCCTAGTAATTTTGTGGATGGGTTGAAACCCCCTGAAAAAATATATATAGGTGAAACGTTTAGCACCTGTTAACTTTTCTTCAGAGAGAATCCATAACATTTATCACCTCAAACAAGCCATGGCCCCTGGCAGCTTAAGGACCCACCGGACTTGAGTGTCTTGACGTAGTGAGGTCTTTCCTGAGTCAGGAGTCTCCTGGTCCGGCTTCCTCACTGTGGACTGGAAAAATCCGATTAATAAGAATAATACTCTTAACATCTCCTGAGTGCTGAGCACGTGGCAGGCACTGTTCTAAGCACATTGTGTGTATTCGTTTATAGTTATCAGGCAGGAACTATTATTATTGCCGTTTTATGGCCGAGGGTGCTGAACAGAGACGGAGGCAGCTTTCCCAAGGACACAGAGTGGAGAAGTGGCAGAGGTTGGACACACCCAGAGCCTGGCCCCACAGTCCACGGTCTTGACCCAGTGCTTACCCACCACATCACACCGCCTTTTGACTGAGGGGTACTCCCGTCACGGGTTGTTCCTTTTCAACCAAAATAGACTGAGAGTCTAAGGAACTGTGACCACTAAAAAGTGAGTGAGGCGCCCGGCCGGCGTGGCTCAGCGGTCGAGCATAGACCTATGAACCAGCAGCTCGCGGTTTGATTCCCGGTCAGGGCACATGCCCAGGTTTTGGGCTGGATCCCCCAGTGGGGGTGTCAGGAGGCAGCCGATCAATGACTCTCTCATCACTGATGTTTCTCTCTCTCTCTCCCTCTCCCGTCCTTTCTCTGAAATCAATAAAAACTTTTTTTTTTTTTAAAGTGAGTGAGAAAACAAACCTTAATTTGCCCCACCCCACTCCTCATTCCCAGGATATTGGCAATTGAGAGCAATACCAGCAGAAGGCCAAGGTACTCCTTGGTGCTAGAGAGGGCTCCAGGGGCAGCAGGCAGGGTCTGTGGGCCCAGGGGGGCTGGTGAGTCCTCTCCCTGCAGGACCCTTAGCATTTCCCACCTGAATAGCACTTTCTAGTCGACCATCTAGTCCCACCTCTCCTTTCATTTGATGTTCCCTACTCCTGTGCAAGGAAGACACGTAGAGATTATTCCGCAGGTTAGAAAACTGCGGCTCTGAGGTTGTACCTTCCCTCGGGTAATGGGACTAGGTTATAGCAGAGCTCTGTCTAGTCCAGGACCCAGGACTCTGGACCCTCGGGCCAGTTCTCATTCCACGGCTTTTCATACTACCTGACGCCGAAAAACCAAACAGCCAAAGAGGCAAGAATCCACGTGCACCCAGCTCCGCCGCAGTGGGCGTCTTTTTATTTGTGGGCATATAGTGGGCACCTCCCCAAACCAGTGCAAAACACGTTGCTTCTGTTACCTCATGTGATCTGCAAAACAACCCAGTGAGGTGGCCATCACCTCCCCAGTTTCACAGACAGGGAGACAGAGGCATAAGAGCACAGCTAGTAAATAACAAGGCCTGGACTCCAGGCCCCGACGCACCCGATTCCCCAGCATCTGCTCTTCACCACTGGGCCACGCCACCGTCCAAGGAGACAGGAAAGG